AATCAGGTTATTTGTTTCCTTGCTATCGAGTTCCTTATGTATTTTGGGTATTAACCTCTTGTTAGATGTTTGGTTTGCAGATATTTTCTTCCATTCCATAGGTTGTCTCTTCATTTTGTTTATTGTACAGAAGCTTTTTTGTTTCATGCAGTCTCATGTTTATTTTTGTTTTTTTGCCTGTGCTTTTGGTTGGGGTCATTTCTAAAAATTCTTTGCCAAGACCGATGTCAAGAAGCTTTTCTCTATATTTCCTTCTAGTAGTTGTACCATTTCAGGTCTTATGCTGCAGTCTTTAGTCCATTTTGAGTTAATTTTTGTGTATGGTATGAGATAAGGTTTTAATTATTCTTCTGCATGTGGATATCCAGTTGTCTCAACACCATTTACTGAAGAGACTGTCTTTTTTCCATTGCGTGTTCTTGGCATGTGTTGAAAATCAATTAACTGTAAACGCATGGATTTATTTCTGGGCTGTCTATTCTGTTCCATTGGTCTATGCGTCTGTTTTTATGCCAGTACCATTTTGTTTTGATTACTAAGCTTTGTAGTAGATTTTGAAATCAGATAGTGTGATGCCTCCGACTTTGTTCTTTTTGCTCAAGATTGTTTTGGTTATTTGGAGTCTTTCTTTGTGGTTCTATATGAATTTTAGGATTGGTTTTTCTATTTCTATGAAAAATGTCATTGGAATTTTGATAGGGACTCCATTGAATCTGTAAATCACTCTGGATACTATGGACATTTTAACAGTTTTAATTATTCTAATCCATGAATGTGAGATATTCATTTATTGATGTCTTCTTCATTTTCTGTCATCAGTGTACATATATTTTATCACCTTGGTTAAATTTTTCCTAGATATTTTACTTATTTATTTTTTTGATGCTACTGTAAATGGAATTGTTTTCCTGATTTCTTTTTTGGATAGTTTGTTGTAAGTGTAGAAATGATACTGATTTTTGTATGCTGATTTTATATCCTGCAATTTTACTAAATTTATTAGTTTTAACATTTTTTGGTGGAGTATTTATGTTTTTCTCTATATAAGATTATGTTGCCTGCAAACAGAGACAATTTAACTTCTTCCTTCCTGATTTGGATTTTTTTTTTTTTTTGCTGACCCATACAGGGACTGAACCCCAGACCTTGGTGTTATCAGCACCAAACTCCAATCAACTGAGCTAACCAACCAGCACCTATTTGGATACCTTCTGTTTATTTTCCTTGCTTAATTGCTCTGACTAGGCCTTCCAATACTATGTTGAATAGAAGTGGCAAGAGTGGGCATCCTTGTTTCATCATGATCATAGAGGAAAAGCTTTCAACTTTTCATTGTTGAGTGTGATGTTAGTTGTGGGTTTGTCACATATGGCCTTTTTTTTGGTTGAGGTACATTCCTTCTATACCTAATTTGTTGAGATTTTTTATCATGAAATGATGTTGAATTTTGTCAAATGCTTTTGCTGCATCTATAGAGATGATCATATGGCTTTTCTCTTTAATTCTGTTAAGGTGGTGTATGACATTTATTGTTGAACCATTTGTGCATCCCAGGGGTAAATCCCACTTGCTCATAGTGAATAATCCTTTCAATTTGTTGTTGAATTCAGTTTGTTAGGATTTTGTTGAAAATTTTTGCATCTATGTTCATCAGGGATATTGGCCTATAATTTTCTTTTCTTGTAGTGCCCATATCTGGCTTTGGTATCAGGGTAATGCTGGCCTTGTAAAATGAGTTTGAAAATATTCCTTCCTCTTCAATTTTTTTTTTATTCTTTTTTTTTTTTTTTTGGGGGGGGAAGGGGGGTTAGCCAGTACAGGAATCCAAACTCTTGACCTTGTTGTTACCAAGTGAGTCTGTCCTCTTCAATTTTTTTGATGAGTTTGAGAAAGATTGATATTAGTTCTTTTTGATAGAATTCAGGTGTGAAGCCATCAGGCTTTTTTTTGATGAGAGATTTTAAATTACTGATCCATACTCCTTACTTGTTATTAGACTGTTTAGACTTTATTTTTCTTCATGATTCAGTTTTGGTAGGTTGAATGTTTCTAGGAATTTATCCATTTCTTCAAGGTTATTCAATTTGTTGGCATATAATTGTTCATAGAAGTCTCTCATGATCCTTTGTATTTCTGTGATATCAGTTGTAATGTTACCTTTTTCTCATTTATGATTTTATGTGAGTCTTCTCTCCTGTTTTATTAGTTTAGCTAAAGATTTGTTGATCTTGCTTATCTTAAAAAAAAAAAAAACTTCTGGTTTTGCTGACCTTTTCCATTGTTTTTCTAGTTTCTATTTCATTTATTTCTGCTCTGATGTTATTTCTTTTCATTTACTAACCCTGAGCTTAGTCTGTTCTTTTTCTAGTTCCTTAAGGTGTAAAATTAGGTTATTTAGTTGAGATCTTTCTTCTTTTTTAATGTAGGCATTTATTGCTATAATCTTCTCTCTTAGAACTACTTTTGCTGCATCCCCTAAGTTTTCGTTGTTGTATTTTCACTTTTGTTTTTCTTAACATATTTTTAAATTTCCCTTTTGATTTCTTCTCTGACCCATTGGTTATTCAGAAGCATGTTATTTAATTTCCACATATTTGTGAATTTTCCAAAATTCCTTCTGTTTCTGATTTCTAGTTTCATACCATTGTGGTTGGAAAAGACACTTGGTATGATTTCATTCTTCTTAAATTTGTTAAGACTTGTTCTGTGGCCTAACATATGATCTATCCTGGAGAAAATTTCATATGTGCTTGAGAAGAATGTGTATTCTGCTATTATTGGATGGAATGTTCTGTATGTGTCTGTTAGTTCTATTTGGTCTCAAAGTTCCATTCATAGTTGAAGTCCAGTGTTTTCTTATTGATTTTCTGTCTGGATGATCTAGCCATTGATGAAAATGTTTTATTGAAGCCCCCTACTAATATTGTATTGCAGTCTGTTTCTCCCTTCAGATCTATTAATGTTTGTTTTAAATATTTAGGTGCTCTGATGTTGGGTGCATATATAAGTATAGTTGTTATATTGTCTTGATATATTGACCCTTTCATCATTATATAATGCCTGTCTTTTTCTCCTTTTATAGTTTTTACATAAAGTCTATTTTGTCTGATATAAATATGGCTATTTCTGCTTCTTGAGGACATTTGGAAGCCCCCACTTCCTGGTATTTAATACTTTTAACTCTCTGAAATTTTTTTTGTTTGGGCTTCTCTGGAAGCAGACTCTGCGACAAAGATTTGAGAGCATGAAGTCTATTTGGTTTGAAAGCAGGGGAGTGGAAAAATAAGACAAGGAGAAAAAGGTAGCCAGTAAAGGGTGAATTACTAAGCCTGCTTCTGCTGTGTGCTACACTGGTACTTAATTCTGTGGGGGAAATATTGGGAGCCAATGTAGAATACTTACCTCAGAGTTAATCTACCTGAGGGGCCATGGGCCTGGAGTGTGTATATACTGACTTCTTTAATCTTTGGTTGAGGGCTGCTCTCAAGGGGTGTATACATGGCAGAGCAGGTTACAATAATAGGAGTTGTCATAAGGAGAGGGAAAATGGGTGGGTACTAGTGGCAGCCTCTATCCCAGACTTCTGATTGAGCATTGTGTTTTAACGTCAAGAACACCTTGGTATCCCGAGTGGGTTTTCTCATGCCCAACACCTTGCAGGTATTCTTCAGTAACCTTTAGTTCCATCTTCCTTTAAAAAGGTGAGGAAAAGCCTATCATTTTTCTACATATTTTAGTTTTTAAAAATCATCTTGAGCATTTCTGTATTCAAGCATTTTTAAGCTAGCACACCCAGAGCTGCTCCTAAGAGGATTACTCTTGAAGTGGTAAGCATAGTGATAGGTGCTGGGGATAAAAGAAATGAAAAGACATGATCTCAGCCCAGAGAAGCTTCTAGGCTAGTGGGTGATTATTGGAGGGCTTATCTAGAGATTCTTTTTCAATTGAGAAATGAATCAATTAATCAGCAAAAATATGTCTGCAGGTGCTTTAGAATTTGGGCCAAACATTCTTCACTGTCAGGCCCTGGCTGTACCTTTTTGGCTGAGTTACATTTGATGAAACAGTATTCAGTCTCTCTGAGCCTCAGTTTCCTCAACGGTGAAATGGGATTACTAATACCTACTTCACAGGATTGTATGAAGATTGAATGCAATAATAGTGAAAGTTGAACTGGACTTGGGTAGAAGAGATCACAAGGTTGGGGGAGAGGGTCAATAGATAGGTCGCCAAAACTATAGTAAGACAACAGAACAAAGGTAGAAAAATGAGTTTGGGGGTTGATCATGGAGGGTGTTGAATTGCAAGCTAAAATAGGTCTTGGGCTTTGCTGCAGAGACAGTGAGGTTTTAGTGTGTCTCAGTCAGAAAGGCTGAGGGAAAGGACCTTTAGTCTTCACACTATTAAGATATTCTTGGCTGGTTGAGCTAATCACAGGACTTAGAACTAAGCCTTTTGGGAGCTTGGTTTTCTGCAACTCTGAACCACAGATCTGCAAATCCTGGGTCCATCTCTAGGACCGCAGACATGGTGTGGTGGAGAATTTGCTTATATGACAGTGTAAGAACTTGACCCTGTCATGGACCAGTCTTGGTGCTACAAGTTCTGGTTCTTAAAATATATGTTATTTGAATATGAGCCGTTCTTGGTGTGGTGGAGAATTTGCTTATATGAAAACTTAAGAACTTGACCCTGTCACGACCATATTTGGTGCTACAAGTTTGATTCTTAAAATATATGATATTTGAATATGGTCCGCTGGCCAACTTTTAGTGTTAGGCAGGGAGAATAAGGCTCAACAATATGGCAGTCTCTTAATTATAAGTAGATTTTGTGAGAGGACTTCAGTCTTACAGGGGTTCAGAAATTTCCTGTTATTTACAGGGCAGCCTAGTGGATTGATGGGAAGGTTTGTGAGAAAGAAACTTGTATTTTAAAAGGCAGAATGTTTGTGGTTTCCAACTGACTTCTTACATATGTTCCTTTGATCTTATTGTTAGCTGCTCATGTTTCCCACCTGGAGAATGTGTCAGAGGAAGAAATGAACAGACTCCTGGGAATAGTGTTGGATGTGGAATATCTCTTTACCTGTGTCCATAAGGAAGAAGATGCAGATACCAAACAAGTTTATTTCTACCTATTCAAGGTGAGATTTTAACATTTTAAAGGCCTATCTTCTTTCTCTTATTGTTCAGATGTGCTCAGTCTCCACATGTCAGGTCATGGATGTGAGGCTG